GAATTCAGAAGGAGATACATCAAAATGCAGCAGACATGGGCCAGGCACTTCTATGCATCTTCACTGACTGAAAAACACACACACGACAGTGCATGGATTTTAATATATTTTGGGGTGTATGTGCATGAATCTCAACAGGCTTGGAATCATCGGGAAAGTAAATCCCTGGAATGTATCCTTCAGAGCAACAAATATTTCTGTGGCAGGGGAAGTCGTCTCTAAATATTTTGGATGCTTCCAATAACACTATTTTCTTAAAGTTCTCACATATTCTATTAAAAGATGAGAAAGAAGAAAAACTATTTTCTGTCTTTAAAAAACCATTATATAAGCAAGGCTCTGCTGATGCCATGCAAAAAGATACCTTGTTTTTATGGCTAAAGGGCAGGAGCCAGGGAAGCGTTCCTTACCCATCAACAATTGATCCTTCTAACTAGCACTGGAGAAGGCAAGAGAAGGAACATTGTTCTCTGGATGCCAGAGAAAACCAGAATACTAGTAAACATGGGGGTGGAAAAAACATTATTAGTGCATGTCACACCACTCAATTAAGTAGAATTTATTTTTTGGAATCATGTTTTGGAAAGATACTAAGGGCTCACTAAAACCACAGCTTCATGTGGAGGCAAAACTAATAATGTGACATGGTGAAAAGAGGAGGCATCTGCTTAAGGGCATGACTATAATTCTATAGTAATGAATTTGGAAGCATTAGTTTTGTAGACAGAATCTGGTGAGCAGAGACTACAGCAGGGGCTGTGAGTGGTGAGGCTTTCTATGCCCCAGAATTATAGGAATCCTAAAACACTCGGTGTGGCTACTGCTACAAAAGATGGGCAGCATGGGAGGGAGAAGCTAGCACTGGATGGAAATCCAGCGTTAGGGGATTCAGGGACATCCTGGCTCTACCAACAACTCAGGTTACCAGAGTAAGTCACTTTAACACTGGGGTACCTGTTTGCTCATTCACAAAGTGAGAGAATTGTATCACCTACAAGATTCCTTAAACTTTAGAATTTTCTGACTCAAAGTTCCTGAGCTATGGAACCTATCCCTTCTAGATCAAAATTGTCCAGTAGAAATATATTGTAAGCCACTTATGTAACTTTAAATGCTTTGTTGCCACATTAAAATATGTTTTTAAAAAGGCGAAATTAGGTCTTATCATACTTTTATGTCATCCAGTATGTCCAAAACATTGTCATTTCAGCGTAAGTCTTTGAAATCTTGACTAGCTATGCATACAAGTGGCCAATAGCCACATGTGGCTAGTGGCTACTGTCTACCATGTTAGATAGCAATGTTTAAATGACTTATGCATATAGTATGTGTGCCTTCATATATTTATGTGTGTATGTAAAAATGTATAGTGTGTTTTATGTATGTGAACGAATACAATGAAATTGACACTAATGTTAAGTTTGGAGTATTTCCATGGAAAGCACATTTCATTAAAAAGCCAATTACAAAATATATGAAACCTGCCACTATTTTATTATAAGAAGTAATGTAACCAAAAATGCAACTATAGCAAAAATTGAGGGAAAATAAACAGAAAATTACAATTTTTACAGAGATGTTATAAGAATGCAAGTAATTTTTTCATTTACATAATTGTGAATATGGATTCCATGTTTCTGCCCAGTGAGGTCTGTTTTCAGATTAGACACATTCTGAAGATAAATCATCTCACCAAAAGCTGGAAAATACTATCCTTTCCTTAGGTGGGAAGAGCAAGTTTCTTGAGCTCCTTCCCATTTTGACAGAGTTGTAACTGAAGTGCTTGTAAGGCCAGATCGTATGACGATTCCATGAACTTCCTGGTTCCCTTACTGTACAAATCCTCCACCCACTCTCCCTTAAAATAACTCATGCCTTTTGAGACAGCATGAGGGGGCGATGCTTTCTTAAACCAGAAAAAAGAACCTGACTCAAGAACAATGGCTGACCTCCAGAGCAGTTGTAAGGTCCACATGAGGTTACGTTGTCTAAGCTTCCAGTGGGACATAACACACAACAGGCTTTCAATAAATGTTATTTACTGTTCTCCAATCTCCTCAAAAAAATTTAAAGGGATTTTGATCATTACATTTATATAGTCTGGGTCAACATTTTCTTAACAGATCTCTAATCCTTGCCTCATATCTCAAGGACCTGAACTAATACTATTTTTTTCTTTAACAGAAAGACTATATTTCAGGAAATATTATAACCAAATATTTCTATAGATATACGTGTACATTTGGAAGCCATCTGAAGTATCGATTCTTGAAAGTGATGTCATATCACTCTTTAAAAATAGATAGGCATTGTAATACAGCATCTGAAGCCTGCTTACCTCTACTCTAAAATATTTTCTAAGAATCTCACCATATGATATAGGAGTATGTTTAGATTCATTATAAGGTATTTTACATTTAAAATAATTACCAAATTGTATTACATCAACCTTTAAAGGTTACAAAAAGCAAACATCTTTATAGACAAGCCCTCACCAAAGGAGAACAGTTATAACATAAGCTACATATCTGTCTGAATCCCCTTATGTCACAACAGCAAGTGTCCAGTGGTTAGAGCCAGTCAGATCTATGTTCAAATAACAGCTGCACAATGTATTTGTTCTATAGCCTTAGGCAAATTTACTTAGCCTCCCCAAATCTCAGTTTTCTGGGAATATCAATGCCCCATCTTTTGAGAGTATAAAGATGAGAGATAAAGAATGTAAAGTGCTGTGTTGGACACAATGCCAGGAAGAGTACATGCTCAATAGTAGCTAGTATTATTATGATTGAAACAAAGTTTATTTAAAGAAACTTACTGAGAAATGTTTATAAGATTTTCTGGAAATTAAGAGGTACTCATGAAGAAAGATATTTATTCCAAGTAACTGTCTATGACATACACAGATTTATTTGGAATACTAAAAAGGAAAATATCCCTAAATTTTCCACCCAATATTACCTAACACACACATGCACGATTCCATCATGACTATTCCCTCTTAGCAGTCTTTTCATTTTTCCAGAGCAAAAGTAGGACATAAAGTTCTTTCTCCTGAACCACAAGTTAGAGGTCATCATCAGTTCATTTGGAAAAATAACCATCAGTGTTTACACACACATAGACCCACACACACACAACACACATTTACTTGTATGTATATTTGAACTATAAATTAGTAAAGACCTAGACATCAATACTTAGCTAACATAAATGAATGAGGTAGTGGGGAAGCCCAACCACTTGTGTTGACCACAAAACTCATATCTCTCTCATACCCGGTTAAGAGACTGTTAAGTCCCTGATGGACTTGTCTGACAAACACATTCCACACTCACACAAATCATTCATTTTGGAGTAGAGAAAGAGAGAGAGGAAGGAGGAGGGGGGAAGGGGAAAAAAAGGAGGAAAGAAAGGAAGACTCTACGTGTGGGGCATGTACGTAGGATGGGCTAGCAATCTAGGTGAGTTTTGGAAAGTCTATTTTTTGCCCACCCAGAGCTTGCCCAGACTTGCTCTAAGGCTATGTTGCAAAATAGGTAATGATTTCTCTGCCAAGCATGTTATTGGAATGAGTGAAGTCCCAGACCTAACATTTTTTTTTTCTTGGCCATCTTACTTCTTCAACACAAACATCTGAGGCTGTGGTGGTTTTAAGTATGCTCCTCAGCATCCCAAAGTTCCTGTTTTTTATTTCTCAATTTCTTGATGTTTACTATCCAGTTCAAGAGCTACTGACCTCTGCCTCACCCAGCACTAATCCTGTCGATTTTAAGTCCTTATGCCTTTCAGAACCACTCTTCCAAGCACAGCTACCTCCATTCAGAGTCTGGAAATTAGGATCAATAACCTATGCAAATTCAGCACCATATTGAGAGATTCTTTTGGAGCAGGTATTTATCATCTGAGGAAGGCTTGTGTTTGGAGAACCCTTGTAATCAAAAGAAAAAATGGTTCTGACTAGTCATTTCAGTTGACTTGATCCTCAGACACAGGGACAGGATAAGTTAAGGTCTGAAAGGATTGGTTGTACCAAGGAGGCCATGAGTAGATAGATAATAGTTGATTAGCTCATACAAATATACGGAGAGGCACCACCGATTCAGAGTGGTGATTCTAAAAAAGTATAAACACCTAAAATCAAGAAATGTTATAGCTAGACATCTAATTTGTTGCTTTCATTTACATATTTACAGTCAGAATTGAGGCTCAGAGATATTAATTGACTTTTCCAAGGGTTTGAGCAGAGACTAAAATGAGCTTTGTTTACAGGCCAGTGTAATCAAGGAGTTTACGCAAATTAATAAAGATTTAATATCAGGACCTAAATGTCTCATAAACTGAAGAGTACCACTGTGGGACACAAGAACTGTGGTTACTAGAAAGGTGCATGATAAAATGTTAAAGATAACTCTCCAGGTTCTACTAAAATTGGGATGAATATTCCTTAAGGCCGTTATCACTATTCATAGCTCACCAGGGAGTTTTCTGATTATAAACTGAAATTCCTAAATTCTCTGAGTTTAGAAATGGAATACTCCGATGATAGAAAAGACTATTTTATTAGCAAAGACTGCTTATTTGAACTAAGTTGATAAAGTTGAGTTTCTAAAATCATTTACTGAGGACTCTGAATTCATGAAAAACAATCCAAGATGGTCAATATCCCTTTTTCTTTCTTTTTTCTCTTTGCAGAACATTATTAAACATCTCAGGATTATGTAGCTATTTTAGAATGAGGTAAAAATAAAGTTATTAATAAATAACAAACATTGCTATAATAGAATGGAATAGAATGTAGTTGTGATATATTTAGCCAATAAAAATATAATGCTATAATCAATTATAAAGATGGCTCCTAGAAATTTAAATGTTAATGTTACAACTTGTTAGCATATTTCTTAAATAAAAAAATGAAAGTTTTAAAATGTGAAGAAGTATCAAGTTCATTTTTTGTCTTCTATTATACTCAAAACAGACCCCTTCGTTTTCTCTCACAGGTAACAGCAAGGGTTACTCTGTTGCTGCCAAGAGAGCTCGATATGAGACGGCCAAACTGAGTCAGATGCCTGTTTTGTTAAAATAAGGGTTTCGAGACTGTAGATTCATGAGATGGGGATTCAGCAGAAGGAAAACATTCCCATCTCCATTATAGGAAGTTATAATGGTGTTGACTATTTGGAAGAAAAGAGAAAAAGAGACAAAGAAGCGATCTTGCTTAATCACAGCAAATGTTCTATTAAACATTATGTAAAAACAAACTACAATAGTAATAATATTAGTCAATTTGGGAGCTTTTTAACAAATGAACAAATATTTCTTTTTAAGACTATAAGTTCTATGTGAAATAATATAATACACAACAGAGACTAGAGTGTTTCATAAAACAGAAGGACTTTCAGGACTTTTTTTTTTTTTCCCCAAAAGGAAGATATGCCAGGAAAATCTTTATACAATTAAATGGTCTATGTTCGTCATGTCTAAAGGCATGGAAAACACCCAAAAGCTATTTTTTTTTTCTTACTTGGAGTCAGATTATTTAGTAGCATACATGTTTAGTGAATAGACTTGTATGGAACATAACTCATCTTTGAGAATATCATCATAGTGGTAAGGACTTGCCTGACCTTTAGAGAGCCATATACTTTCCTGTCTAAGGAATAGTCTTGAATAACAGAATTACCAAATGAGTACAAAACAATACCTGCCTGACTGGGTTTTTTGCTCCCTCAAAGAATAGGCAATTGTGTCAGTTGGCCTTTTTATGATTAATGGAGTAATCATGATCCTGTTTAATACATTTTCCTGAGATAATTTGGGTGGAACCTCATACTCCTGCAAATTCTAAATTTAATTTTCAGATTGGGTTACCCAGAATTCACTGGAGTAAGCTTTCCTGATATGAAAAGAAGAGATACAAGTTCTTTTCTCTGAAGAGTTATCATGTAATCATGCTTTTTAAAAAAGAATTTATTGCCACAGAAGTTAGAAGTAGATTTCCACTCTATGGGTAAGTAAGTCAGTCTTAGAATAATGTAGGCCCATACGCATTGTTCTTCATACTCTTCCTCAACCATATCATCTTGAGCAGTTTTTATTAAGGCATACGAAATGGGCTGATCACTTTTCAGTTTTCTTACTGTCCTAATCTCTTGAGAGACAAATCACTTTGGAATAGAAAAAAATCAAGGTATGAAATTTAAAAATGAAACTTAGATTTGGGCTAATTAGCCCCTTAAAATTACAGGGTCAGATTCCTAAATACTATAAAAGGGAGTAGTATATTTAGGTAAGTTTTTAAAAATACTATGCATGTATACATGAAACAGAATTAATATATCTGTGATTCTTTTAAAAGTAATAGGTCACCAACTATTGGTTATGGCCAAGTGAGGAGACAAATTCTCTCTGTAAAAAGCAACTATAAAGCTGGATAAAATTGACAAAAACAATCATTTTGGCACTCTGAAAAATGAATCAAAGCCATAAAACAACCTGAGAAGCATTTAGGCTTGAAAAACTGCTGAATATAAGAATAATGAAAATCTGTGGCATTCTAGCCTGTAGCTACTCACATATCCTCCCTCCCTTCTTCCTCACTTCTGTAAGGACAGAGGTTTTTTAGAAGCAGGCCAGGCGCTTCTCTGTCATGATAAATGAGAGCTCACTCAATCTGGAGTGATGAGAAACGACCACTCCCAGTGGCATTTTGGTCCAAGTGCTGATCTCTGAGGTGGGTAAACAGGGAAACCCAATGGCTCTCCTAGTCTGAAGCTGTAGTCACAGTTGGAGAATATTTCTGGCTGTCTATATTTCCTGGAAAAGGATTAGTTCACTCAATCCTGGCTACCCCTGGATTTGTTTGCATAAAAGAGAGGATAAGAAAAGGTCCAGTGGTAAGTAAAAGCTGGAGCTTGAAAGCACCTGAAATCTGAGTGAGCTCCCCTACCACATAGAGATCCTTTGGCAAAAGACGGAAGCCTTACTGGCTCAAGTGTTTGAGCACAACCTCTAGCCAATCACTAAGCCATGCTGGCATGGGGAAACCTTTAGGAATCCAGGTTTAGAAGTGTATATGTATGTATATGGCTGTGTGTGTGTGTAGATATACTGCAGATATACATATATATATATAGATATGCATTATATATTAGTATATATATTGGTATATATGTGTATGTATGTGTATATTTTAACTGAGCAGAAATATCAGCATGTGCAAATGGCAGAGGAAATTTTTTTTTTACAAATTTTGCGCAAGTTACTTAAAAAAACAAAAAAACAGCAACAATAATAGTCTTTATGAAGTTAAAAAAATTAGAATACAAACTTACTACAATACATTATCTAATATGTCCACTTTCCAACAAAATAATTATAAGATGAGCAAAAACCAAGAATATGTGACCCATATTCAGGGAAAAAAATCATTGAACAGAAATAGTCTCTGGTTGTCCCCAAAATGCTAGATTTTGCAGACAAAACATATACAGCAACTATTTTTAAAAGCAGTTATTTCATTCAAAGAACTAAAATAAACCATGTTTAAAAAATTAACATATGACAGCAGTGAATCAACAAATAGAAACTCTTAGGTGATAGAAATTAGAAAAATGAACCAAACGCATATTCTGGATTTGAAAACTGAAGTGAGGGATTCACTAGAAGCACTCAATAGCAGATTCAAGATGGCAGAAGAAGGAATCAATGAACTTGGGAGATCAGCAGAAATTATCCCAGCTGAAGAAAAGAGACCTGTGGACATCAAATATACCAATATACATGTAATGAGAGTTCCAGCAGGAGACAAGAGAGAGATGAGGGCAGAAAAACATTTTTAAAAAGAATGACTGAAAACGTACTAAATTTGATTTAAAACATTAATCTGCAGATTCAAGAAGCTCAACAAACCACAAGAAGATAAACTTTCTGCCTGAAACTTTTCTCCCTGGCTTTCTGTGATTCTGTACTCTCATTAATCCCCTCGCACTACTTGACTGTTTCTTTACTTTGTTCCTTCCTCAATCCTTTTTTTCTCAGTGAGTGTGTTTTAAAATCGCATGCAATTCATATTTTTGTATACTCCACACTCACAGAAATTCCATCGATTTTCATAGTCCATCAGTACAGAGACTTTCAAAACTCTTAAGAGGGTTTCTATATTTCTATTGCCTGGTTAAATACCTCTTTGCGGATGTTTCCCTAGCATCCTAAATGCAGAATGTAGATTCTTCTTCTGTTCCATATGTCCATAATTTCACTACCACCAGGAATTGACAACAGACATCTCAAAACCTGTTACCTTTGACGTTTCCTTCCTCCTCAACTATATTCAGTTGTCAAGCCATGTAAATTCCACTGACCACTGTCTCCCTCCTCTTCATTCCCAGTACTGCTTCACTAGCTCAGGATTTCATTACTTGCTCACCCAGATTGATACTACAGCAGTAACTGAATTTCATGACTCTGTTGTCTCTTCTTTTTAATCCATTCAAAGCATAGTGATCAGATTAATATTCCTAAAACATAGCTCTGATCATTTCACATTAAAACAACAATAAAAAGATTTGATGGTTTCCCTTGGCTCATTAAATCTGAATTTCTTAGCAGAACATTCCTTTCCAAAGCATATTTCCCACTTCCCTTCACCAATCCCAAATTCCAATTGTGAAAAAAATTGGCTACTTTTTTCAAATGCACTGAAATAAACCATAAGGTTTAAAAATAAAAAAGAGGGAAAGAAAGAAAAGTGGGGGGAATGTTTTATTACTTTTGGGTGGGTACACATTCCCTGACAACTTGTAAATGTTCTAAGATTTAAGATTATGTAAGTTTTTGGAAGCATAGAGTAGCCACATCAGCTATGGGAGATGAAAAGATCAGGACACATGGTCATGGATTATGATGAACACATGGACAGGATTGGGGTGGAGGAGACCCCACCCTGCACTTTCTCAGCCAGTTACAGACAAGAAGACAAACTCATTTATCTGCTGAACAGGAGCATGTTACCAGTAAATGGATACAGATGAACAGAGCTTCTAGCACAGGGTGCATGAGACAAATAAGACAAAGATTGGAGCAAACATTTCTGGGATACTGTTTTGCTATTTGAAGGCATAGAGGAACTTGTAGTTCCAGATGGACCTGGGCAAAAATGTCTGGGCAAGCCCTCAGAAGTCCAGAGACTTTTGCCCATGGGAAGCTGGAGAATCTTGATTAACTGTCATGAAGTTGCTTTGTTTTTATAAACATGCTGCTGACGCCCTGTACAACACTTGGCTGGAAAATGGAAAAAAGCTTTCTATTACTTTACAACTTTGTAAGTAAAATAAGCTGTGTGGATTTTGCAAATTAGGTAACAAAAACTGCCGTTGCTGGTTGAGTATGGATCAAATTGCTTAGCTGAGCCTGTCGCTCTCTTTGTACCTAAGCCAAAGGTAATCTTTGGTTCTGTCTGTGAATTAGAATGAATTTTAAATTCATGAAATCCACATTTTAAAAATTTCACTGTGAGGCTGGGTGTGGTGGCTCATGCCTGTAATCCCAGCACTCTGGGAGGCCAAGGTGGGTGCATCACGAGGTCAGGAGATTAAGACTAGCCTAGCCAACATGGTGAAATGCCGTCTCTTTTAAAAACACAAAAATTAGCTGGGCATGGTGGCATGTGCCTGTAGTCCCAGCTACTTGGGAGGCTGAGGCAGGAGACTCGCTTGAACCCAGGAGGCGGAGGTTGCAGTGAGTTGAGATTGCACCACTGCACTCCAGCCTGGCAACAGAGTGAGACTCCATCTAAAAAAAAAAAAGAAAAAAATTCACTGTAAAAGGATGCACAGTAGGCCAGGAGTGGTGGCTCATGCCTGTAATCCCAGCACTTTGGGAGGCTGAAGCAGGTGGATCACCTGAGGTCAGGAGTTTGAGATCAGCCTAGCTAACATAATGAAACCCCATCTCTATTAAAAATACAAAAAAAATTAGCTGGGCAGGGGGTGGGCACCTGTAATCCCAGCTACTAGAAAGGCTGAGGCAGGAAAATTGCTTGAACCTGGGAAGCGGAGGCTGCAGTGAGCTGAGATCATGACACTGCACTCTAGCCTGGGCAACAAGAACAAAACTCTGTCAAAACAAAACAAAAAAACAAACAAAGTAAGCATGCATAGTAATTAAAGATAAATAGAGCCAAAAAAGTAAGGTTATTCAGAACATCAAACAGAGACATGAAGAATAACAAAGCTCCTGTTAGAGCAAAGAACTGATGAAGTTTATTCTCTGTGGTTGTCCTTTCTCTTACCTGACAAAATCAAGGTAACTGCAAATTTCTTCTAGTTTCTGAAGTTATAGTCTTCATAATCATACCAAATTTCATAATGCCCCTCAAAACTGCTAAGGATGTTACTGAATGCAGGAATAAGAAGTCTAAACAAATTAGAATAGACTGAGCTTACAGTCAATTTCTTCAGTGCCATTTTTTAAAAACAAAATTACACATTTTGCTTACTAATAATGGTCATGAGAAGTATATAAAACCATTTTACTGTAACATATCTGAACTCAGTCTTCAACAAAACATAATTTTTCTAAATCTTCTATTTGACCTCAAGACTCTACAATCATCAGTAATACCAATGCTTTTCAATTTATCTGGATTAATTTTGCAATTAGAGTATTTCTAATATTAAATGATGAATAATGACACTGTAGT